CTCCTATAGGCGTTTAAGGCATAATTTAATTAACAATTGCTTTAGTTACCTTATGCATTGCTGCTAGCCAGGTAGCTGCTAGCTTTTTATTGGAATTGAAATCTTCACCAGCAGTAAATTTAATCTGTTTGAATTCATCTGATCCTGGTATTTTGTACTGAAGTAGCATACCTGTAGCACGAGTATTGCCTCCTAAGGGAAAAATACTTTATTTGTTACAAATACAAAGGACTATACCAAACCATAGCTGCTTTTTTTTTTTTGACAGAATGGATTCTATCACCAGAAAAATTACACATCCCAAAATGCAATCCAAACTTTTGAGTAAATCTCTGAACCAGACTTAGAAAAGGGAGAACAAGACGAAATCCCATTATGCAAGTGGAAGTTTACTCAAGTGGTGTTAGATGTAATCCAGATTTACACTCCAAAGCAAATACAGCTTTATCCCTACAATAGTGGCTGGTTAACCTTTCATCTCTTTCTAACCCCAGTCACTGATAAATACAGGAAAGAATACGGAGTAATGGATTAAAGTCTAGGTTGCATAGTCACATCAAGAAATAATGATATGGAGAAAGCCACATGCAAAACAACTATGGCTGAGCAAGTATTCAGACTGGGTAGCTTTGAGATTACAAGACAAATGTCTAACCGAACTAGTGTTTTTAAAGGCCTCATATTCAAGAGTACATGTGAAGAATGTGCATTACACAAGACATTTATTTGGATGATGTATGCTCAAACAAAACAAAACTATGCCCTTGAATTATTAGTAAAAAGTCACAAAATAGATGAGACAAACCTTAAATAGCTTGCAACAATGGAAAAAAGATGGAGTAGTGTAAAATAATTCAATCCATTAAATACAGAAATTATTTTAACCATTTTTCAGGATATGGATTCTGCAAAATACAGATTTATTTAAAATATTAAACTGAACTGAACTAAAATATGATTTGGTCATAATGTTCAAGTCAGTCCACCTTTATGATTACATCCCAAATTCAATACTGCTTCAACAACAACAACAAAATACTTGTACCCATCTCCTCCATTACAAGTTGACATCTATTTTGAATGTACAATTTTGAATAAATTTTTCCTGTGAGATTGTTGGTTGAGAGTTGACTTGAAAACCCCAACTAAAAACCACTAAAATCTACAATTAGATTTTTTTAAAAAAATCTACATGTGTTTATAACATTAGAAGTGTCCAAGAAATATTACAAAGGCAAAGTCCCTGTTTATTCCTTTTTAGTGGAAAAAAAAATCAAACATACACAGTTCTAAATCCTTGTATTTGTACTGTTGCACAAATGCGGAAACTGCTGATTTGAGAATAACAAAGCACATACAGAGGATGGCTCCTTGAATTCTTTCCAACACTTTAAAACAGTTGTGTTTTAGAACACATGATTGAAAATGTCATGTCAACCTTCTGCCCAACTGCCTCTTTCAGGAAAGCATTGGGAGATATTTTTTTTCTAGATTCTTTTCTCTGCAACCCCTGCCTGATACTGTTCAATTCAATCTTTCTTTTGCAGTTCCTCCTATAATATCAAATTTAGTCCTATTCTGTTATCCTGCTCTCAAGTCCATCTACATAATTTCTTCCCAAGATTCTATTGTGTTGGAAAGAATACAGGTAAACGTTGACATATAACCTGAGCAACTGTTCCAAGTTACAATGGGGAGCTACTTATGACCCAGATTCAAAGTTATGATGGTCGCCCCCCTGTGGTCACATGACAGTACTTCAGGTACTCAGCAACCGAGATACATTTATGGCTGTTTGCAGCATCCCACAATCAGGCAGCAGTCTTTTATGATGGTTTTGACAAAAATTGGTATTTACTTCCAAATTTCAGCAAAACAGTGCTGTTTTACAACTGTCACAACTTCGAAGCCTTACAGTTTTAAGTGAAAGACTAACCGTGAAAACAAAAGAGAAGTGGGAAAGAGCTGATGTTGTTACTCTTTCATTAGTGATGTAAGACTGGAATTCTCTTCTGCCATATTTTTCTGTAGACACATTTCTCATTTCTAGAAGATTAGCATTTTATGAAGCTGACTTAACTAATGGAAATAGTATCAAAAATAATTTTGGGGTTGTCCTCAGGCTCCCACTCGGTTCCCAGGGGACGCAGACCCCCCGGCCCGGGACCATCGGCTGATGTTATGTAATGCCAGGTCCGTAGTAAATAAGGCCCCCCTCATACAAGATCTTATTTTAGAGGGGGGCGCGGACCTGGCAGGTATTACTGAGACCTGGTTGGGCGCAGAGGGCGGAGTACCACTGGTGGACATCTG